TTCAGAGGAAGATAAGATCATTCACCTGCAGAAACCTTCATTGGCTGGGAGCCTTTTTGTGCACATTTTCTATGTTAATATCAAGCAGGATTTAGTCTATTAAATTTAAGTGGTACATGGTGTACATGTTCAGTACTGCCAACGCTCTGTTTTTCAATAGACATGCTGTGCATATTTGTTTTAAGCATCAGTATCAATATATGATTTGATGATTTAGAGTTACTTGGGCTCTCTGAATAAAAATTTGTCTCAATTTAAATATTTTTTAAATGTGTCTGTAAATAATTTATTTAAACTTGCAATTATCAAAACTTGCATCAAAGCCTAATTGTACTATATTCTAATGGAGCCTTTTTAATTTAAATTATAATACTGAAATATTTCTCTTGCTAAAGTTTTGAAGAAAGTAGGAACATCCAACAATGGAAAATTATTAACTAATTACCTGGAGTGAGCACTGAAATGATAAAACAGGCTTTTTGGAGCTGTAGCTTCTTTTGCAGGTGCAGAGATAATGTTTTCTTTTCTGGTTAGAACAGTTCATTTCAAAGTGGAAAACAGGTCTGACAGCTGGGTAAAAAACATGTTCTCCTTTTCCTGATTATAAAACTGATGGAGGAGGCTAAGACGCTACCTAAATCTTGAAGGATATAAGGTCCAATCCAAAACAAGAGTAGGAGCATATTCCAGACACGGAAGTGCAACATTTTGGGGGACTGTAAGCCAGTAATATCATGTTTGTTTGCAGTTAGTGTTTTTCTAACATACATATCTGGCTTTTGATCGAGAACTGGTTTGTAACTCTCACACGTAGACGTGTAGAAGTCTGTCTGTAGGCAGCAGCAGCAATGCTGGAAGAAGCGTGCTACTGCACGTTGACAGAATTGCCTCTACTGTTAGAGCTGGACCTCTGCATAAGCCTTTGTGTCCCAGACCATTTTGGTTTCAGCGGCTGTATGAGTATGCATGAGTAGGAGCCTGATCTCTCCCTGTTCACAGTAGGGAGAATGTCGGTGCTTCATTCTGCATACAGCTTCCCAAAAACTTGTTGTGTCCCAAAAAGTTCTTGTGGTGTATTGGGGCCATGAAGCAGTCTGTGCACTTGACCTAGCTGTAGAGAGGTCCTGATTATTTTTCTTCCAATAAACCAATTATTTTTTACTATATGGTTTGATAAAGATTGTTTAGAATAATGTCTTGAGCGGATTCAAAGTAGTTGTGTTGAACTAAAAGTTTTCAAATACTGCTTTTCTTCACTTTAAGTCTTTGTCCAAATGTTGCTTGGTGCCATTATAAACCCAAATTATGAGGCGTGTCATTCATAGTTTTCTATCATAACGTCTAAAAAATTTAAGAAACTGCGTTGATCCATGTTTAATAAAGATATTAAAAGTTGTACACGTCTCTTCTGTGCACAGAAAACCTGTTCAATCCATTTAGAATAAAGGATAGCTTTAATTGCAAATCTTAATGTTTATGGTTAAAGAGCAAGAATGAACATTTCTTTAGGAGAAGGAAACCAAGTAAAATAAATCAAGGTTTTTGCTAGTGAGTTCAAAATTTGGTTGTCTTCAGGAACCAGGAGTGCCCATGTATGAAACAGGTCCCTTTTGTTTGTGATAGTGGATAAGGAGCACAAATGTGTTGTTTTCCCTTGATTTCTCAGCTGCAAAGTGGGGACTTCACATTTCTACCTCACAGGAGTGCTGAGATATGATGATACATCTTCCAAGTGTGCACCACTATTAAAATTCTAGGTCTGATCCTATTATTTCCTGCAGATATTTATTTGTAAATATATGTAAACTTCTCCAGTCATTTTCTGCCACGTGAGGCAGTTTAGGTAGTTGGATGTTTTGACTTTGATTCTGTGTGAGCTTTTAAAAAATAACAATCAAATTAAAACAAGTGAAAAACCCTGCTCTCAAAAGCATTCAGCATCTCTCTCTGTTACGTGGTAGCCCTGGACAAAAATGTGACAGGTAATAACTGAAAGAAGATATTTCTTGGGTAACTCACAAAATATTTGTGTTCTGTGGAGGTCTTTTCAGACTTCATGTTCCACAATTGTCTGTCTTCCCATCCTAAGATGAATAACCCTATTCTGGCATTTTTTTGTTGCGCAGTGGATCTACCCTTATGGTACTGCAACAGGTGCTGGAGCATTTGCCATTGTTATAATGCTAGCAAAGTCATTTACCAAGATCCCATGCTCACAGCTTTCCAGAACATCTACTTTTTTTGCTTCGTTCCCTGCATGTTAGTTTCAGAACCTTTTTGACTTAAAAAAGATCCCCCCACCCCCGGAGTTATTTCAAATCAAAGGGGACCACTGGAGTTCTTTGTCTTATCTCTAGTTACTAAAGGTCACGAAATTTAATCCAATACTTGAAAATCCCCAGGCAACAAATCATTGTGCACTAGGCATGGAACAAGAGAGTTCAGGGCACATCACCTTATGGTACAAAAAACTAGGTAAGAAATGACTGGACTAACATAGTGTCAATCCATGCATATACTGCAAAGAAAGGAAGAATTTCCCAGGGTGTGTAACTATCTCCTCCAATGGGAAGTTCATACAGTTCCACCTTGGTCCCGAATCTGGCAAGAAGTACAACTAAATATGACCCCCATAGATAGGCAAAATGTGCTACCCAGCGATCAACAAGCATTTTCAATTCTTTGCGTCTGAGTCCTGGTACTCTCCAGCCCATGACCCAAGTCCCAGTGCAGCCCTGAGAGGAAGATTAAAAATACTTCAAGGCACATCTGGCTAGGAGGAGGGTTGTAGCCCTCTGCATGATTAACTGAAGCTCTGGAACATGCGGTCTTGTTGTAATCTTTATCTTAATATGTAACTGCAACTGTAATGGGAAAGCTGAGGGCAATCCTCTTCTCCCCAAGGCCCTTGAAGCATGGCGACAGAGGCAACTTACAGAGCCGTGGATCCTATGGTTTCGAACAGTTTATAAATACTAACTGGAGTCTGAATGGGAAACAAATATTGAAGAAGGTTTGTCACTTGTTGAAAACTGTTGCTTCATAGGAACTCAGGTTTTGGATAGTAAGAAAGGAGATCATAGAATCATAGAATGCTTTGGGATGGAAGGGACCTTGAAAGGTCATCTAGTCCACCCCCCCTGCAATGGGCAGGGACATCTTCGACTAGATCAGGTTGCTCAGAGCCCCATCCAGCCTGACCTTGAATGTTTCCAGGGATGGGGCATCTACCACCTCTCTGGGCAACCTGTTCCAGTGTTTCAGCTGAAGTGAGCCAGGGCAGTGCTTTTTCCCCTTTTAAAGATGTGGACCTCAGACCTAGTTTTCTCACAGTATTTGCAGTTTTATTTTCCATTTTTGTAAGCAAACTCCCATCATTCCATGCATGTGTACCACAGCTGTGACCTGACCCCGTAAGGAGGCTGCCTGCTTTCAGGCAGCTAACCACAACAAACCTAACTGAGGATGCTTGTAACAGGTTCATCCCAAAGCAGGCTTTCCTTTGATTTCTGATTTTTCTGCTTCATCTGTGTCGAAACTACCTGCAAGCTGCTCTCTTAACATGTGCAATGCTCTTGCAGGCCAATCTGCCCTTGCTGCAGCGGGAGCTGCTGCACTGTGCAAGGCTAGCCAAGCAGAACCCAGCCCAGTACCTCGCCCAGCACGAACAGCTGCTTCTGGATGCCAGCACCACCTCACCTGTTGACTCCTCAGAGCTGCTTCTCGATGTGAACGAAAACGGGAAGAGGCGAACTCCAGACAGGTGAGCACCACCGTACCTTTCACACCCTGCTCAGAAGTGTCCTGTGGGTCGAACGTGCTGAGCTCCGCTAGCAAGAGGGGAGCGTGTGGGTGGGGAACTGGGATGGTGTTCCCTGGATGCAGGTCCTGCCCTCATTACAGCTGTACAACAGCCAAATTACCTTTGTGTATGTGTGTATGCACACATATATATATTAAAAATATATATGCATACATTGACTCAAGTGGCCTGAGGACACGCCATGGTCATATCTACATAGAAATAATACTGGCTGGCCAGTGCCATACTGACTATTTAGTACATAGTATTTCTCTGCAGCATAAGGTAATGAGTAGATCACTCCAGCTCCATATGCAAGTCCTTTGTATTTGAGGTTTTGTTGGATTGAACAGTAAATATGGGAAGAGTGGCTAGGCACTCAGATTGGGAAGTACAAGGCAAGCTCTGGAGCGCAGTCAGGGCTTTGACTCCTTCTGCTGTGCCATGTTACCATATGCATATATACAATATACATAAGGATATTTCTTCCAAACAGCAAAAATGTTCACTGAAATCTGGTTTTTTTTGTTGAGCTGAGAAGGGGTCCATGCAGAAACAGGGCAAGCGAGTGCTCATGTGCGAAGTACGGTAGCTTAGGGGTATGGAACAATTTTCTCTTATTTGAATAAAGTTCTTTGTTTAGTGTTACAAGAAAATTACTCTTGTGGTTATTTATTTTTAACTGCCTTCCCGTGATAGTGTTAGAAATTCAGCTGGCGTATAAATGTTATCTTTGGAAGGGCCAAATATTGGATTTTTCTTAGTTTTATTTGCCATGGATTTATAGTATGGAAAACTTTTATAATGCTATTCTGCCAAATGCCACTACTTGCATGCACGGGGCACTGCAAGTGTCCTAGTTATCTTTTAAATGAAAAAGGTGAAGATGTGCAAAGTCAAGAAGGCTTGCAAGTTTCCTACAGGTGACATTTTTGTGTAGGGACAGGCCATGATAGCACAAAGCCTATGGAGAAAACAAAGTCTGGAAGTTCCCGAGGCTGGTAGGCAAAAGTTCAACACCAAATATTTGAGCATATTATGAAAGCGAGATATTAATGATGTAGATACAATATCTTGAAAATGTCTGCATAGTAAAACTTTAAGCTACTCAGACCCAGAAGTGAGCAGTAAAAATTAAACGTAGCCATTGGATAGACAAAAATGTGAAAGTATTTTGCTTTAGATTGTGTTTCAGGAAAATCCCTGTGGACCAGCAAGAAAATAAAGATATGAGCACAGAAGCCCTTTTCCGTATACCCTCTTCTCACCATTTTTTCCTGACAACTAGACCAAACTGAAATAGCCACTGGTGGTAACACAAACCGGCTGACTGCATCCAAGAAAGATGATTAATTTTCAGACATTTTCCATGTAGTCTCTTACTCTGTGCAAAGAGATAACATTCCAAAGCTGAAATTTGGCTCCCTGGGGCAGTTCTGCTGTGTGCCCTTAGTCTTTGCTGAGTGGTGTACCAAAACATCTGTTAAAAAGGCCCTTAAAATCTTGTGCATCTTGTGAATAACTTAAATATCAGCATGCTGTAGTCCAGTAGCAGACACAGTGTTTTTCTTACAAATAGGCACACGTTGAATTATTTCATAAGCCTGTGAGGTCTTGCTTGACAGAGAATACAGAGGAGAAGAGGGATGTGCCTTCCTGACAGCCCTAGCTTGCTTTTTTTCCCCTGTTAATAGAGAGCAGTATTACTTGCTTCTCCCGTAAGGCCATAAAGGAAAAATGGGCAATAAAATATTTCCTTTATTTTTCTTCCTTAACATTCTGGAATAATACTTCCCACCCTTTGAGAACCAGTTTGACAGCGTTGAATTGCGGTTATTTTGTAATAAGTACGGCCTCACCTATGGTACCTTCAGTCCTGGTTGCGTGGCAAGGGATGGGTGGTGCAGGTGAAGACCGGTACAAGAACTTAGTAATGAAAAGACTCCGTATTAGTCTTAGAGCAAAAAGAACATGGGAATAGCCCATAAGGGGACCGGCAGATCAGAAAAATATTGGGTTTTAAAGTCAGCCTTCATCTTTTAATTAAAACTGAGGCCTAGAGAGATTTAAGTCTGGTTTATGAGTTTTGTTCTCAGTGTTCCTTTTTAGTTAAAATACATAGGTGCTCTTGAAACTCTGAAGTCTTTGCTTGCAAGCAAGTGCCTTTTGCCTTCACAACTGAAGTCTCTCTTAGGCTCTGTCTAGCTCCAGGAGTCTTCAGTTCCTTTCCAGGTAGTAATGCAGCTTTTGGGGTGCGGGGTAGACAGTTTAACTTCCAGTGTTGTGGGTAAGACCCTGCGTTTGAATTCCCAGGGTCCAGGGAGGGGCTGTAATGCGGGGTGTCCCATTGGCCTGCATGCTCGGAGGTGCCAGAGCTATCAGCTGGCAGCTTCTGTCGATCGCTGCTTGGAATTAGGCTCCTTCGTTCTGGGGAAGTGGCGTTTCAGAAAAACCCATCCTTTTTTGACCCCTAGATTCTTTGCTGTCATGAAAGACCTGGAAAGAGACTGACCAGCTCACCCATTGGAATGGTGACTTGAGCTTAAAAAATTAGGTTTTTTGTAGTATCAAACAACCCTGTTACTGGTTAGTCACAGCTGCTATTCTGTTGACTATGATTAAGGTTATACAGAAAAAATAAGCTCATACGGTAGTTTTGGCTGAACCAAGTTCAGCGGAGTTGTCTCATGAACTCAAGAACATTTGTACTATAGATTTAGTAAAATGAACAAGATCCTGTTGGAAAGCTTCTTAAAATTACTGAATGTGAGTTTGCATACCTTTTAATTTGGATAATGTAAGTAAATCAACCACAAAAACCTGTCCTCAGAGTCAGAGCATGCCTAGACTGAGTGAGTATTGAAACCAAATACTTGTCTGGCTTTATGCTCATTATGCTATTCATTATTTTAATTGTTTACAGAGGAGCAGGAGGAAACATCCAGAAATAGATATACCTTTTGATTAGATATCGAAGTAGTTTTCAAATATAAAAATACAGTAGAAGATACGAGGCATCCTTTAAGAGGAGGGTTTGCTGTGACTTGCTAGAATATGGAAAAAAGTGACTAAAAGGCAACATCTTTCCAGGGGAACTAAATGCAGTTGGAATAATTTTGTTTGGAGGTATGTCTCTCAGTAAAGTAAATTGTGGTATCTTTTTCACTTCCCAAGGGATATGAGATACACACACACACACACATATACATATTGCATATAATGTGTATGTAATGTCTCTCTCATATATAGATGCGCGTGTGTGTATATGATACATACACGTATATATTAGAAACATATATACACACGTTCTTCGATACTTACATTTTTCTTTTGGGCACAGGTAACTGCATACCGTTGATTCCAATAGAGGTAAAATACAGTAAGGGATTAGGCAAAGGCAGTGGAATTCGTGTGTTGCACACAACCACATCACCTCGTGATTTTTTGTTAAAGAAAATCCACATACAGTAAATTTTTCTGGTTATAATTTCAGAACCTTTTTTGCATATGCATTTTCCAATTCTGGTTATTTATCTGCATATTCAAGTCTACTGTATGTGAGGTTTTATAGAGCAATCTGACAGCAGAGCTTTGTGTTTTACTGAATGTTTTCTTGGTGCATATGGTCTGACACGGATGAGCAGCCACGGTGAGATTTTGGAGTCTATTAAACTAGCTCATTAAAAAGATCAATCTGTTTCTGTAATAACACTGGGAACCATCAGTCACTGCAAGAGAGAAAAACTGACACCTGAGGAGACAACACATTTTGGTAATTTGTTCATGACATGTCTTGAACAAAGTGTTCACTATATTTTGTTTACAACTTTGGGAGTTTACATTCTACTGTAGTAAAGCAAATGAACTTGGACCAATGTGAGTTTTTATTTTGGTGAATGAATGCTTAATTATAAATAACACGATTTTAAATACTTTAACCACCAAGACTTTTTGCTAATTAGTCATCCTTTGAGGTTGCTGGGAAGGGCTGTATGGCACATGAGCGTGTCATATAGTGACGCTACATTTATGACAGCTGCCTACGAAGTGGATATAGGATAGCAAAAAAATCTGTTAGAATAACTCTAATTTTGAGTGAGAAGAAAACAAAAGTGGCCATGATTGGTTTGTGACTTTGGAAATCGCTGCTGTGCTTGCTGTACCCTTGGCACCCCTGACAAGGAATTCACGTTGAACGTATCTGGGCACAGAGACTGACTTTGATAATTCTGTTAGGTAAATCTTCTTATTTGAAGAAGCTCCTCCACATCTCAGTAAGGTGAAGGATGCTCACAGCTCTTACAGCTATGCTTCTTCTAAGCCATGTGTAATTATGAGGAATTTTAAAATAAATTTCTTAATATGAACTGTTAGCAAGGCAATATTAATCTTTTCTGTAACATAGTATTATAAACAAAATAAGTATTTTATTCCAGCAAAGCATTATCACTTGTTTGGTCATCAAGACTTTATTGGTGGAAGTCCAATTTTAATCAAAGCATCTTGCACAAATAGCAGATGAACAGCTTTGCCTCCTTCTTGCAAGCTGACTTCAGTGTTCAGTGAAATTGGTGTAATACTCTTGGTCAGGTGAAACTTAATTTTCCAGCCAAGGCAGTTTTGCATGGTCAGATTTCCTACCCGGGAAATTATCCATAAATTGCAATAATTTAAAACTTCAATGATAACTTACAGACAACGTAAAGTCTGTTAAACGGATACAGACCAATGACTAGTATCTATTCTGCTATCTTTAATCTGGGTAAAACATGGCTCCAAGTAAAATGACCTCTTTCATGTTTATAGCTGAAGGACCCCATCTTTATCACATTGCCGGTTTTCCAAACAACAGTATCAATGTATGTGCACGTCAGGGAAAATGTTGCCAACAGGAGCAAGAAAAAGAAAAACAAGAAAATGTATCAGTTAGGCTTCCTACACATTCAGTGTTATTTCCTCTCTACAGCTTGTTGTTGTTTTGCAAAATCAGATGGATTAGATGAAATCAGATGAAAATAGTGGCAGTTCTGGATTTGGAACTCACGTGGATCTGGCCAGTTACTGTGAAACAGGAGTGCTTCCTCAGGCACCGGGGGGTGAGACCTGGAAGAATGAGTAGGACTGAGATCAGAAGCAGAACAGTAGGTTGAGTTCAGGGCATCTGAATTATGGCACTCTTCAGTACTTTGTCTTTTATCACTATATTCAGTATATTCAGATACAGTAAATTTGCCAGTGATTCCTGTTCTGATAAGACTTTGGAAGTCGTTACCTTTTTATATACTTTATATGGCCAGAAACACAAGATGAGTTTATATACAGTCTCATTCTGGTATTCTGCTAAATTGTTTATTTGGTCACTGCAGAAAATATAAAAACAAATTGTAGAATTAAGGTTTTAACACCCAGAAAAGACCTGACAGCCATTAGCCAGCATAACAGCAAAAATAGGAATTCAATTTCAGTGAATGTGTTTTCAATGATAATATTAATTTCTATGTTAGTTGAACTCAGGGTTTTAGAAGAAAATGGATATGCTGGTTGCCCAAGCTAATGCAGTGCATTCCAATTAAGGTAATTAAGTACAAAGCATTCCTAAAAAACCACAGAAGTACCTGTACAATAAGGTGCAAATATGTACATTTGTATGCAAATATATAATTTTAACATCTAATTATAGTGCAGAAAAGGAAAACTGAAATTCCTACTTGTCACAGTTTTCTGGTTTGCTTTTCCTACAACAAGTGATCAAAAAAAGGAAATGAAGTTATTTGATTATTTACAGTTTCTGATTTTTTCTCCATCTTAGTTAGGGATCATTCTAACTGTAACAATAAAAAACTTTGGCAAATGAATAGCTTGGCTTGTACATATAGGAAAGTCCATTTTTTGCTTGCATAGTATTTTTACAATTGAAAGACCTGGACATTGAGTTTGAGTAGATATGTGCAAAGAAAGCACACACCAGCAACTAAATACAAAACTTGCCTTGGAGAGCTGTCAAAAATGTGACTACCCATTGGGAGTTATTGCAAGCACTTCCATTGTGCCAAAAGTCATTAAAAATATATGATGGTCCTCAGGTTCTCCTGATGAGGAGTTTTCACAGCCATTCTGCATTTGCTTTGGAACAAGGTACATACTCCACTTTTAACAAAATACGTCTTTTATATCTCTGCCCAAAATTAGAACAGCTGTCCTGCTGTATTGGTGAAAGATTCTCCCCTCTTTGCCAAGTTAAGGTATAATAAAATATATATACCTGCAGCTTCTCTGGCATTAGTGATTGTGGTGAGGTCCCTGGAAAATCTCTTTACTCCTGAAAACAGTGCAACCCATCTTTTCATTTCCTGCTGGTAATTGCAAGATCTTACTTTGATCCTCTCTCCCAGTGGATATTGGCAAAGATTTTGTTTCATCCTTCCTCTCATTGACATTGAAGGAGAACCTGTTGAGGGGCAACAACAATTAATACAGTGCGCGTTTCTACACAGACAGTCCCTTGAGGTTGGTTGGATTGTGGGGAGGGTTTGTTGAAGGGCAGTTGGTTTTAACAGCAGGCAAAGAAGCAAATTAAATCAAATTTACCTTCCTGTCAAAGTGACAAAAAATTGTGTTATGATGGGGAAGATGCATTGTGCCTTCTGTAAATCACAGAGGAAAAAGTTCTCTTTAAAAAAGGCTGGAATATATCAGCTGTTTAATTAAAAGTTTTTGGAGGAGGGATGCAACCTCAACAGTTCGTGATATTTATATCTAATAACCTTTCTGTTCAAAGCTAATGTTTTGTAGGTTTTGTTTATTCCAGTGGTAAAAAAGACCCTGTACTTCAGTAAAACGAAACTTCCCTAAGCTCCTAGAAGGAGTTGTGAACCCGTTGAAGTAACTCTAGCCTGCCTTTTTTTATTTTAACAGAAGATGAGTTCAGTGTGAGTTCCAGGTTCTCAGGCAGAGGTGCAAAATAGAGACTTCTTTGGAAATAGCTGATTATGAATTGAATTAATTAATATCTATAAAAGTAAAAAACTGCCCTTCTCCCTGATAACTCTTCAAAGTTGCCTGAGTATAAAACCTCCCTCTAAGAGTAATGGAGTGGGAAATCTTGAATGTTATTGAGGTCTTTAGTCTAACCACATCTTCTGCAAAATTAATGAGAGGCACAGCACCTTTGACTGGAATAGCCCAGATGGTACAAAAATCTCTGAAGGAAACATTTATCATCATCTAGAGTAATTCTTGCCCAAAGTCTCAGTGTGACACTGATCTTGATGGGAACTCATCCTGGCATTACCTATAGCCGAGCTTCAGCACACTGACACGTGCTACCTTAAGACTATGCTATCCTCTTGAAAAAATCCCACATTTCTTTAACTGCAGATTTCCCCTAATCACTATATGCTATAGCACTACTGAAAGCAAGAATTTCTCAGCCTCTAGCTTCATGTATCAGTTGATTGTTTCAGCTCTGCAATTATGTGTGTATCCATCCCATCAGCTGGTGATTTCAGCGAAGGCTGCCTGCCCTCCAGCCCAACTCTGAGCCGCTCCGTCGGAAGGCTTGCCCTGCTAGTATTTCTCAAGTTACAAGGGTAGTTAGGCAAGGTGAATGTGTCCTTTGTATATTTTGAATAAGCAGTGTTATGAAATGTTCTGCAACACCACACATTTAGAGCAAAGTGAAAGAACAAGCTTTAGTTCCTGAAGCTGCACATGTTGGTGGGTGTGTGTGGTCCTGAGCAGCTCTGTTCACTAAGTGAATTAAAGTTCCTTTGCTTTGTTTTTCAGAACCAAAGAAAATGGCTTTGACAGAGAGCCTTTGCACTCAGAGCATCCAAGCAAGCGGCCCTGCACTATTAGCCCAGGCCAGCGGTACAGTCCAAATAATGGCTTATCTTATCAGCCCAATGGTCTGCCTCATCCCACCCCACCTCCACCTCAGCATTATCGTTTGGATGATATGGCCATTGCCCATCACTACAGGGACTCATACAGACACCCCAATCACAGGGACCTCAGGGACAGAAACAGACCTATGGGTAAGGCATGTTGATTTTCTGTACTGTTTTTTTTTAGGTTTCTCTTTTCCTTGTAATTATATTCTGTATTTTGAACAGGGTATTTTTTGCTGATTAAATATACCTGCTGTTTAGATGTAGCCTTTATAGGTGTTTGTCCAGCTAGCTGCTTCTAATGGCCTTATTTTCAGATTTATATTTGTAAAAGTGGATTGAATTGTGTCTTTGCTACACTCCAAATCAAGATAGTCAGAAGGAGGAGGAACCCATGCTTTCACAGCTGCGTAGATGACCTGGACACTCAGGTGTCTGGCAGGCAAGGATGGGTAGAGCCTTTTGTTTTAATTTTAATGCCACATTTGTGACTATAACATCGATAAAGCTTGATTTCAGCTTAGACTAGAGGAAAGCCTTTGGAGAAGTGTTTCATGTGTGACATCTCAAGGGTGCACTGCAGTGTGGGGATGTCTGCAGAGGATGCGAACAGCAGAAGCACCAACAACACCCTGCGCAGCACGTTTTGGTTTAATGGGATGTCTGATGCTCTTGGATTTGCCTGGCTTGCTTCACATCTGCACTTACGATTCTTCCCTGTTTTAAACAAATCTTCAATAAAAGAGGAACATTTACAAATATTCAGCATCTGTATAGAGGAGGCTAAACAAAGAGCAAGTGTCGGTTCCTCTTGAGTGTTGATAATAAATACTGGCTTGGTTGTATCGTGTTGTCAGCTGCTCTGATATATGTGTTACGTTTTAACCACATGTTGTTTAAACATCTGTGAAGGGATGAACCCTTAATGATGCTCTGTTGACATGGTAGTAATTACTGCATTTAGTGAAATAACATTGAGTTTATACTAATATTTTTTCAACTCTCTTAAGTACAGCTAGTATTTGATACACTGAGTTACCAAATAATTGCCTTGCTGACTTATTCAAGTAGTGAATGAAAAATTATATATTGTATTACATATATATATATATAAAATAAGTGTACGTAAACAGAAAGGGTTATGTCCATTTTTGAGAGGTCATCTTGCAACCTGCAGAACTTCCAGAATTGAAGATACTGAGTAAAACAATAGCATCTTGTGTGGGGAAAAGTGCTAAAGAGAACTTAGAGCAAAGTTTTTAAGTATCCATTTAGTTTTGTGGTGGCATCCCTGATACTAGACCAGGTAATGTATGATATATTTGTCTGATAGGCTCTTCTTTCTTTTTTTTTTTCCCCCCTAGAGGACTCCCAACATTGTAAACGTGATTTGCTCCTTTTTGGCAGGGTTGCATGGCACACGTCAAGAAGAAATGATTGATCACAGGCTAACAGACAGAGAATGGGCAGAAGAGTGGAAACACCTTGACCATGTAAGGGCTGAATGTACTTTTACGTATAATTGTCTGAAAGGAGCCCTTCTAAGATAGAAATTTAAACTTTTTCTTTTAAAACAAATCTGAAACTTTGGACAAGTTTTGAAAACATTGGCGATTAAATCTAGGGGCTTGGTGTTCCCCATTAGGTAGCTCATATCAGCCCTTGCTGTTATGTGCCTGTTGCAGTATCCTAATTATTACAGGCTGCCAAAAGGGGAGTAGGCTCTTGTCTGTAAACCCTGGATCTGGGACACATGACCCTTGCCCTTAGTACTGGTTAATTGGATTTGTTCTTTGAATTTGTTAGTGCTTATAACATTTGTAGGCATCAGTTCTGGACCAGATCTCCTGGCCTCCATGGTGCCATGTGATACTAGTGGTGGGACTACAGTCTGTTCAGTCTTTTCCTCCTCTTCTCCCTTTCCCCCAGAAATCCCTATCTGTACAGTTCAGGATCACCAGTTAAACAGGAAGGGATTGTCATTCTTAAAAAAATCCTGCATTTGAAAAACAGGGAGAGGCTCCTTCATTGTTAAAACCCAGGCATTCAGCACGTTAATGTTTTCTTTATTTTTCTGTTGGTTTATGAATAAAATGTTCTTTTTTCTTTCTCTGCTCCATCCACCGCTCTGAATAGCTGTTAAACTGCATAATGGACATGGTGGAAAAAACTAGGCGATCTCTCACTGTGCTACGGCGATGTCAAGAAGCAGACCGTGAGGAGCTTAATTACTGGATACGGCGGTACAGTGATGCAGAAGATTTAAAAAAAGGCGGTAACAGCAGCAGTAGTCATTCCAGACAGCAGAGTCCAGTGAATCCAGATCCAGTCACATTAGGTACAGTATCCTTATTAAAAATTGTTTACCAGTCCTCTTTCAGCTCAGCTAACTGCTAGATGAAGTTTGTATTTGTCCTTCTGATTCTTCTTCCATGATAGAGATGAAATATTCCTCTCTGCTGACTACTGAATGAACTATAACTCTTATGCCCTAATAATCATGTTTACATGTGGAATGGCTTGGGTTTTTGGGTGATGCTTGGTAATTTGCTTTCCATTCAGCAATGTCTGAGAGTGGTGGGGCGGAAGGACAGACTGTCACGTACGGATGGCAGAGCAGTGAGATGGGCACTGACTCTCCATCCCTTCCGTCTCCTTTCCTTTACTGCTTGATTAAGGAAACCTGTAGGTGCTTCTGGATTGTTAGCACTGTGAAACCAAGGGCTTTCAGCTTCTGGAATCAAATGACTTAACTTGGAAGTTGTCTTTCTAAGGAAATGAAGGGAGATATAAAGATACGGGCACTTCTTAGCTGTACTTGGTTTCTGTCTTAAGAAAGAAACAACATCTGGGATGCCCACAGCCATGCTCACATGATCCTGCTAGGTCTGTGTCGACCGCTGCAGCTCACGCAGGTGTGTCTGAGCTAGTTTGGGTACTGCTTGCTGTGTAGTTACATGGAGCCGCTCAGAGCTCGGCTCAAGCTGCAAAGCCCACTTAGAAGGAGCAGACCAAGCAGTTGGACATTCACCCCCTGCAGACCTTCACAGTCACACTCTCACGATACCTCACACAACTACTCCAAGATGACTCTGCTGTATAAAAACAAGCTTCTGTTTCGTGGGCTTTCTGTAATTTATTAATATGTTGGCCTGCTTCTACCCCATCCCCTCACGTTTATGGCAGGTGTGGTAAAGAAACACATCTTGGTGATGCCTTTTTATTGTTCTCTGCTCTTTTGAAGAGAACAGCAAACTGTGATTGCCTGTCTAATATTTATCTTTAAAAAAAAAATTAAATTGTCCGTATCAAATGCCATCTACTCAAAATCATCATAAACTGTGGTCATTACTAGAATTGCATGTGTGTGTTATTTTGCAACTAGTTTTTATTTAAAGCTGTGTTTTCCTTTTGCCCTTAAGAATAACTTATTAAATCTAAAACTTATTTAATTGCAAATAGAAAAAGAGAAAAACAAATCTAATGCCCTTTCCATCTTCCTCTTGGTAAATCTCTAGAGTTCTTACTGTAATATTTAGTGCCTCTTGATAACAAACCAACCTTTTTTTTGTGTGTGTGTCAAATGATCTGAGCCAATAGCTCTATAAATTAGCATCAGTCAGTGAAAGGAAGGGTTATGGAAATGCTGTTCCCAACTTCACTAATAAGTCTTGTCCCTAGAGGAGCCCTTCTCAGAAAGAATCATTCAAGTAATGGCTTGTATGAATAGTGTTAAATGTAATGTAAAGAAAGACTCATAAATATGGCATCTGAAATGTCGATCACATCTGCAGCTTCGGGAAGAACACTTGTGAGGAAACCCCTAGGTCAAAAGCACTGGCACCCTTCTCTAGTAAAGCTATGATGCAAAAAGAGCCAGGGCATGGTGCTTGTAAGTATAGTTAGGAGGTAAAAAAAATGAAAGGAGGCTGAGTTTTTATAATTTCTCCAAAGAAACTGGAACTCAGGCATTCATCAAAACTGTATAGATAATAGTAGAATCCAAGAAAATAGTCATAACCACAATAACAGCAACAAAAGATAAAATGAAGATCAAACATACAATTAGACCCCAATATTATCATTTTGTTTGTGTATTTGTCAAGATGAATTCCTGGAAACAGCAAAGTCTTGTTTGCTTAAAAAGACATTATACGGCCTTCAGCACTGGACACACCAGTCACCTCTGCAGTACTATGGGTACAACTGAACTGGCTGGAGTGAGTCCATTTCAATTTTAACATGTCCATTTTGGTTACTTGGCTTTAAAAACGACTTCTGAGACTCATGGACATGAAACTTAGATCAGTTCAGTGATGTAGCGTCCATGTCAATCATAAATATTGATAAGAAGTACTTTTATGTCTGACTTGTAAGGCAGAAAATACTCACTTCGGAGTGTATGGAGAGGTAATCCTTATATTTCCTCAAATCTGGTAGTAATCTAGTTAACAAAATGAAAACTCCTATCATTCAGAGGTACAATAAAATTGAAGTAGTGTCTGTGAGCCTTGAGTTGCTGTTCTGTTTCGGGCTTTTTATTTTAGTTTTGAAGTGAGGAGGAAGGGGTTGAAAATTTCTTCCAATATTTTAATTAAAGTGCCACAACAACATGTAAATATTGGGTTTTGCTGCAGGGATTCTAAATGTCAGTGATTCCCCTTTGTACCTTTTTTTTTTTTAAAAAATGAGCTAATGCACCCTTTAAATCCATCTTGTCATCTTCACTAGCAAGAAGAAAAAAAAAGGGGGGCCATATGGCTACATTGTCTGTGCCTTTGTTTCTTTTTCTTTACGATTAAAATATCATCACTGAAGTGACAAGTTCTCACTATAAACGTTATGCCATGGACTTCATAGATAGCTCTCACTGAAAAACTCTGAGCTGAAATTTAGCATTGATAGTTTGAGTCCAGAAGAAATGGAAGCAAATTCTGGTCACCCTTTTGAACCAGCAGATCTTTTTTTCTGCCAGAGAAAGACTTTTGTGCTTCTTTTAATCTAACATCCCTGTAAACCATGTTGAGCATGACAGTTCACAGTGTCTGATCTATATATTTGTGTTGATATTGTTAATTAAGAAATCAAATGAAATATTTGATAATTCGTTTTAATGCAGTGTAATCCAGTACATGGATTAGCCAGCTACAACAGGTTACAAGCTCTCATTATTCTCCGAGAGTGTGTTGAAGGTAAGATGGGTCCATTCTTTTCAGTCTGAATAATACATGTTTATGAAAGTCTAAAAATGACTCAGACTTTATATATATTCACTTGATGAACTGTGATGGTCTATGAAGTGAATAATACATCATCCGACTCCTCCATTTCTGCTGAAGAATTTCGGTACTACATACTGCAGCAGGACTGCAACTTTCATCCTAATAGTGAATAATTACACATATCAGACAATGTATACTGAAATACACACAGTCGGATAAATTAAAGATGAGGGTTCTTCAACATTGTGGGTTATAAAGAAGATCTATAACCTTATTGAGTGCAGCTGTGGCTCTAGATAAGTGGTGTAGGCACACATCAGAAGGTCTGCAGAGATGTTGATATTTTGTGTCTGTTGAATTTATCTGTATGGAAATCTTACAAAACAGAGTTTGAAATCTCCAACTGAAGAGTGCCAGTACCTGCAGGATTTGCCCCAGGAAGCCAGGATTCTCAGAAGTGTATGAATTTGTCAAAAACACATAGGTTAGCCATTTCTTAATACATTTTTAAACGTTAACCCTGTCAGAGCTAGTTTATATTTTATCAAAGGTTGTGCACCCTCGTACTTCCAGTGTTAGCCATGGCA